TGGATGCTCTGCAGTGAATGGGTGCCGTCAGAATGAGAGTCCAAACAGCTGATAAAAACATCACAATAATCCACAATTAATCCACAGCACTCCAGTCCATCAGTTAACATCTGGAGAATACAAAAGCTGAAACAAATCCATCATTTGTACCTAAAATATGAGTCCAAAATCCATAATAACGCTTCCTCCAGTGAAAAAGTGCATCTGCTGTTGTCTCTCACATCAAAATCCAGCCACATATTTGTTTGGAGCTGTTTAAACACTGCTTGATCTGTGCAGATTTCTCTCCTGATTCACACCAGAACACTTTTTCACTGGAGGAAGCAACATTATGGATAAAGGACTTGTATTTAGGCCATGGATGCAACAGTTTGAAGTTAAACACACCTAAATGATGGATTTGTTTCTTACAAACACACAGCTTTTCGCTTTTTGTGTTGCATTTTTGCATTTTGTACACATTTGCATAACCTAAACACTTTATACACTGAAATATTCATGGTTCCTTGAATAAACTGAACAACACATAGAGGTTTGAAATGCTCTGTAGCAATTTATTGTAATAATTGATGATTGCTTTGCTGTCATCAGAGTTATATGTGGCTGGATTTTGATGTGAGAGACAACAGCAGATGCACTTTTTCACTGGAGGAAGCGTTATTATAGATTATGGACTGTATTTTAGTTAAAAACGTCTTAATGCTGGATTAGTTTCAGCTTTTGTCTTCTCCAGATGTTCACTGATGGACTGGAGTGCTGTGGATAACTTGTGATGTTTTTATCAGCTGGTTGGACTCTCATTCTGACGGCACCCATTCACTTGCAGTGAGCCAGTGATGCAATGCTACATTTCTCCAAATCTGATGAAGAAACAAATTAATCTACATCTTGGATGGCCTGAGGGTGAGCACATTTCCAGCTAATTTTCATTTTTGGATAAACTATTCCTTTAAAGGAATCTGCTTTACAGTATCTATTTGTCTTCATGAAAGATAATAAAAAATGGAGACTATCAATCGAAGCGGTTTCAAAGGGCACATGCTTTTACCTGCAATGAGCAGCATTTGAGCTGATCAGTCAGTGTTTGTCTAAAGTGTGTTGTTTATTGACTTGCGCAATCATTTAGTGTTGCATAATTGTCTTGAACAATAATATGGATAAACACTGATTCCGTAGCTCTGTGCATTTATTTCTTCATGCAAATTATCATATGACTTCAGAAGTCAAGTTGTATGAAATAGGTCAGATACTTAAATTTATCTTCGAAAGAAAGAAAATCATACGAGTTTGGACCGATATGAAGGTGAGTAAAAGATATTTACTACAGGACAGTTGTTTTGATGTCGAGCTAATATTCTCTGTGTTGCAAAACATGCTTATTTCTCTCTGTAGTCTCCAAAATTACCAAATCAAAGCAGCAACTGAACATTTTATGGGAAATTGACCAAGTCAAACACTTTCCAAGGACACTTAACAGTTTGTGTGTTCATTTACAGGACATTGACATGATCAGTGTTCCTGGCTGCTGATTGGCTGGGATATTGATAAACCACACAAATGTTTTGATCTGATCGGCTTGATAAAGAAGCAGGCAGGTTCTGCTGACCGACCACAGACGACTCGGAAACCCAGGATCAATTTTAAGTGTAGAAACCAAACAGAATTAATTGCATCAGCATTTTAGTCCATCTGTAGCAATGCATCGCTTCATTTCCATCATGTTTTCACTGCTAGCCTTTATTGGGCTGCATGTGAGCGTTCAGACCGCAGGAAGACGTTCTGAGAGGAGCATCGAGAGACACTTCGTATCATTGCTGATGGTACGCAATGGGATGAACTGGGGGTCGTGGGCTCAAAGGGAATTCTGTCCGAGGGGAACGTACGCCGCAGGATTTAGTCTCATGGTAAGTTGAGCACTGACTCATGAATGTGGCTTAACCTGTTAACTGTCACACTTGTCATTACATGTTTTAAACAGTAATATCTTAGTCTTGTTTGTCTAAAGTGTGTTGTTTATTGACTTGCGCAATCATTTAGTGTTGCATAATTGTCTTGAACAATAATATGGATAAACACTGATTCCGTAGCTCTGTGCATTTATTTCTTCATGCAAATTATCATATGACTTCAGAAGTCAAGTTGTATGAAATAGGTCAGATACTTAAATTTATCTTCGAAAGAAAGAAAATCATACGAGTTTGGACCGATATGAAGGTGAGTAAAAGATATTTACTACAGGACAGTTGTTTTGATGTCGAGCTAATATTCTCTGTGTTGCAAAACATGCTTATTTCTCTCTGTAGTCTCCAAAATTACCAAATCAAAGCAGCAACTGAACATTTTATGGGAAATTGACCAAGTCAAACACTTTCCAAGGACACTTAACAGTTTGTGTGTTCATTTACAGGACATTGACATGATCAGTGTTCCTGGCTGCTGATTGGCTGGGATATTGATAAACCACACAAATGTTTTGATCTGATCGGCTTGATAAAGAAGCAGGCAGGTTCTGCTGACCGACCACAGACGACTCGGAAACCCAGGATCAATTTTAAGTGTAGAAACCAAACAGAATTAATTGCATCAGCATTTTAGTCCATCTGTAGCAATGCATCGCTTCATTTCCATCATGTTTTCACTGCTAGCCTTTATTGGGCTGCATGTGAGCGTTCAGACCGCAGGAAGACGTTCTGAGAGGAGCATCGAGAGACACTTCGTATCATTGCTGATGGTACGCAATGGGATGAACTGGGGGTCGTGGGCTCAAAGGGAATTCTGTCCGAGGGGAACGTACGCCGCAGGATTTAGTCTCATGGTAAGTTGAGCACTGACTCATGAATGTGGCTTAACCTGTTAACTGTCACACTTGTCATTACATGTTTTAAACAGTAATATCTTAGTCTGAACCTAAAGTAATCTTGACAAACTATATATCGTTTGAAAGCTTACTAGACTCTAGTTTTCATATTTGGTGACGGATTTCTGAAATATTTTACAGAGCAACTGTAATTTATTAATTTGTAAGAAGAGTACTCCTCAGAGTCGGAGAGCGAGTTCTGACCTTTACTTTGAAATAGCGGTGCACGTATGAAATCATGAAAAATCAGTAAAAACCTCCTTTCATTTTCATGTCAAGTGTTCAAAAGATAACATCCATTCCATTTTTCGGAGAAAAAAAAAGGTCTAGAAGTGTTCTGAATATAAAGAAAAAACAATAGATTCTCTATTTTGATGCAGCGTGAACTGTAACGTAGGTCTAAGGTTCTCGTCGCATGATTTTGTGTTTTTTAGAGGTTGAATTGAAATCAAATACTGCCCTTAATACTTCTGAAAGTGATGTCTACGTCATAATTATTGAGAAAAGTATGGAAAAACATGTTTAAACCATATATGGAAATGGAGGCGCCCTTATATGGTTACTAATGGGGTTTGATGGTCATCTAGTGGAAAAGCTTGGTACTGCGCCCAAACAAAATCTCACTGAAAGCTCATTTTTTGAGATATCAACCTCAAATTTGGAACACAACTTGTTCAGATTTTTGGTTTTAATTTTCTAGCAGTTTTAGAGTAAAACATGTTTTGTAAAATATATATTTTATATAAAATATAAATATTTAAATTTGTATATTTTCATAAACTTAAACTTCCATAACTTTTTATTATACTACTACTACTATTATACTACTATTTACTATTCACTTCTACGATAATCTGCCAAGTGTCTTCTTTAAAAAGAAACCAACCTTAAGTCTGTGCTCCAAAGCATTCAACAATTTAATTTGGAAATGTCATTTTCAGGTCTATGCTCAAAAAGTGGAGCCGACAGTTAACAGGTTAAAGATTCAAAACGGGTTTCTGATGTAGTATTTTTGTTTTGTTTGACTTGAAGTGAAAATGAAGTGCGTTTATGCTTAAAACAAGAATAAATATCTGCTAATGGGGTCAGAAAAGTACCCTTAAGTTTTTTTTACATGACAGAAGTTTCATTTTGATGTTAAATGCCATTAAAAACTACTCTCGTGTTTTTAAATGATGCATATACATTTAAATAATTTGTGCTTTTGTCCAGTTAAACTTCCTTACGCAAGGTAGATTTAATACAATATGTAGTATTTTTTATTATTATAATTATTTAACATCACATTTTTTCTTTATTTAAGCAAAAACTGCAGGGTTTAACTACAAGTATTTAAATAACTTGTATTTTGTCTTGTTTTCTAGTTACACATCCTTAGTGCACAGGGAAGATTTAATACAGCATGTTCTATTTTTATTATTATAACATCTTTATACAAAGTAGATTTACTATTTGTATGCACCATTCAGTGTTGGGAAGGTTACTTTGGAAATGTAATCGGTTACAGATTACAAGTTACCCTATTTAAAATGTAATAAGTAGTGTAACTATTTCAATTACTTTCTTAAAGTAATGTAACTGATTACATTTGATTACTAAATTCCTAACAAATATTTTCAAAAGTTAAGAATTTCTCAACACTGATTACTGTCAGACTTTCAAAATCCTTCACTTGA